AATCTCTAACGTTCTGCTCTCTCTGCTTTTTCTCACAGTAGCTTCATCTGGTCTGTTCCTGTTTCTAGATGTTGGAGCTTGGCCTGTTTTTCAGTGTAGTCCTGTTTCTCTGACTGTGACGGGCTAACCCACCTTTGCCAGCGTTCCCTCCACACAGTATCCAGCGATGATGACCCCGTTCCTTCTGTCCGTGCACCAGCTCTCAAACAGCTCTCTGGACAGGCCGCTCTGCATCATGCCAGGAGACGCCATCACCACGCTGGGGCCGATGTCGTCGAAGTGGTCCATGCTCTGAGTGGCGACAAAAACGAAAGCCTCGTGAACATGAAGGCGCTCAGGGCTGCAGCAGGGCGGCGGCGGCCAAACGGCTCCCTGACCTTCAGGTTGCTGATGTGCTTGAAGACGAAGGGGTTGTTGACGTTGATGGCTTTGCGGATCTTGTCGTTCATGGCGTTGATGTAGGTCTGGTAGACGGCCATGCACTTCCTGGCCAGAGACGAGGCGTAGTAGATGGGAATGTCGTGGAGCTCCGGGTGGTTCTGCCAGTACTCATCTAGGTAAAAAAAAAAAAAAAAAAAGAGATTACAGTGATTAACAAACTTCCTTCTAAAAAATGATTTTTAACTTGTTTAAACATAGAAACACAATAAAAACATCAACAGGGTTCAGAACCCAGAGTCTGATTTCAGTTGGAAAGTCTCCAGCGTCTGACCAGGACAGAGGATGAACTCACCCAGGATGAGCAGCAGCTCCTGGGCTCGCCCCAAAGCGAACACGGGGATCAGACAGCGGCCCTCCCTGTTCACGATGTCGTGCACCGTGTTGCAGAAGCGAGCCTCCCTCTCCTCCCGCTTCTCGTGGATGTGTGTCCCGTACGTCGACTCCTGTCGGGACAAAAGAGCCGTTAATGACTCGGGTTCAGACTCTATGTAGAACCATAATGCAAGGTTTTATAGCAACAATATTTCCAGAATAACTATCAGGTTTTGAAAATTTTCCAGCTTCAAAGGTTTAAACATCTGTAACACTGGATTATTGATCTTTTTCTCCAGATCTGTGCAGAAACTGACACAGAAATTGGCTGGAGACCCTAAAGTCTAAATTCGAAGAGTTAAACTAAAAGTTAAATAAATTTAAATGTCTAATTTCCACCAATAGGAGGCGCAACAATCCAGATCAAGCAATTTCCACCCGTTATTCCTGAACACTTGGTCTCAATAATCCTACATCTAAAGTTTATTTTTTCAATCCAATCGACTTTATTTCTAAAGCAGGTTTTAAATTAAACCTTTTAAATAACATGAAATGTTCTAATGTGCTGCAAAAATGAACAAAACTAAACCTGAATTTTAAGTTTAAGTTTTCCTTCATGGTTTAATGCTGTTTGTTTTTATGGCGTTTGTGAAACGATGCGATTGTTTTCC